AGCTGCCATTCTGACTGGAGTGAGATGGTACCTTAGAGTAGTGTTGATTTGCATTTCTCTGATTGCTAGAGATGCTGAGCATTTTTTCATATATTGATTGATTGTATATCCTCTTAGAAATGTCTGTTCAGGTCCTTGGCCCATTTATTGATTGGATTATTTGGTTTTTTGGTACTTTTCTTGTTGAGCTCTTTATATGTACTAGAGATTAGAGCTCTATCTGATGTGTGAGGTTAAAAAAAAAAAAAAAAAAACTGTTCCCAGGATGTAGGTTCCCTGTTCACCTCACAGATTATTTCTTTTGCTGAGAAAAAAACTTTAGTATGAATCTATCCCATTTGTTGATTCTTGGTTTTTAATTCTTGTGCTATAGGTGAAAGACCTTTATTATTTTTTAAATTCATTTTTTAATGTGGTGCTGAGGATTAAACCGAAGGCCTCATATATGCTAGGCAAGTGCTCTACCACTGAGCCATAACCCCAGTCCTGCTTTTTATTTTTATTTTGGGTTTGTCAATCTACCTGCTTCAATTTTGGTAGATTATATACACTTATGCATTTAATCGTTTCTTCTAGACTTTCCAATGTACTTCAATTTTCCAGTAGTCCCTGGAATATTTTACAGTAGTCCCTGATAATCCTCTGAACTACATTGGTTTCTTTGGTAAGAGCTCCTCTTTTCCCTCTGATTTTAAGAATTCAACCTTCTTTTTGATTTGCTGGTCTAAGGGCTTTTTTTTTTTTTTTCATTTTATTCATTTCAAAGAACAAACTGTTTCTTCCGTCATTTGTATTATTCTTCCATTCTCCATTTTCTCAATTTTATTTCTGATCTTTATTCTTCCCTTGTGCCGATTTGGGGAATAGTTTGCCTTTGTGTTTTTAATAAGACTGACTTTTTTGTAGTATTTTGCAGTTTTCTTGCTGTTGATTTCTTCTTTCAGGCTACAATGGCCTGATAACATACAAAGCATGAAGTCTCCATGTTCATATTTGTTAGGAAGTCATTCGTGACCTTAGATATGATCTATTTTGGAGACAGTTTCATCAACAGGTGACAATAAAGTGTAATTAGCTATTGTTAAAGTATCTCAGATATTTGTTATGTCCATTTTTTGTATACTGTGCTTTAACTACAGGTCAGTTTTTTTCTTCTAAAATGAGGGCTGATTTTGTAACAGAAAGGTAAATGTGGGCACGTATAATCAGTTTCACATGATTTCAGGAACTTGGATTAACAAATGGTGGCAAATCTGTTGGCACTGGATTTGGAGAGAGTGGAATTGGTAATACAATGATCAAACCGAAAGATGATAACTGGGTTTGATGACTCACACCTGTGATTCCAGGGAGGCAGGAGGATTGTGAGTTCAAAGCCAGCCTCAGCAGTCAAGTGGTGTCCTGAACAACTTGACAAGATCCTGTGCCCAAGTAAAATATGTTTTAAAAAGCTGGGGTTGTGCCTAAGTGGAGAAGTGCTGGGTTCAATTCCTGGTACAAAAAATTACAATGATTGTGTAAGTTGGATTTTTTCATAAGCACATACGTGTGAAGGGCAATCTGAAAATAGCACGTCAGGTTTCTCTATGTGCCACTTATGTGACAGGGTTTGGTTTGCTCCTATAGATGGGCAACCTTACTCTTGTCTCACACAGCTTACCGTCCTTGGGTTGTTTCTTTGTTTTGTCTTCCTGGCCCGATCTTGTATCTAGGTGTGGTAGGTACAAATGCAGGGCTGATGTCCTAGTGGGGATGAGGGAGATGCACTTTGGGCTAATGCAAGAGCAAGGAGACTGGAAAGCCCCTGGGACTGAATGCCTTCTGAGATTGAGGACACTGATCAGCAGGGAAATGATGTTTGGGTTTGACACACAGGCAAATCTACAAAAAGTAGGTATAAAACAGGATAAGGTTGTGGTTGACCACTTGGTGTTCTTAGCTTGTGTCAAAATAGGAGAAAAGATCATTTTAATAATAATAAATGGTATAAAACAATGGATATGAGGAGTGACAAACAATGGACATGAAGGAGGGAAATAAGAAAGTCTTTTTAAAAGAAATAACCAATATTAGTGAGGTACATTTGTGCTAGGGATGTGGTTCAGTGGTACAGAAGTTGCCTTGCTTGTGCAAGTACCTGGTTTTAATCTTCTTCAATTTTTTAATAGGGATTAGAAGAAATACGTTTTTTAAACTTTATTTATTCTAATTTGATATATGAGCTGAATCGCATTCTGCATGATATTATACTAATAGAGCACATTTTTTTATGTCTCTGGTTGTACACAAAGTAATCATATCATTTAATAAATGTACTAAAGATAATGATATCCGTCTCATTCCACAGTCTTTCCTACTTCCTTATCTCCTCTGTTCCCTTCCCACCCTCTGCCCTATCTAAAGTTCATCTATTTCTCCCATACTCCCTTCCATCCCCACTAGGAATTAGCCTTTTTATATCAGAGAAAAGTTTCAGTATTTGTCCTATTGGGATTGGCTAACTTCACTTAGTATTATCTTCTCTAACTCCATCCATTTACCTGCAAGTGTCATGATTTTATTCTTTTATTGCTGTGTAATATTCCATTGTGTAGATGTAACACATTTTCTTTATAGATGCATCCACTGAAGGGCATCTAGGTTGGCTTTGCAGTTTATTGTGAATTGTACTGCTATAAACATTGATGTGGCTGTGTCTCTGTAGTATGCTATTTTTAGGTCTTTTGGGTATAATCCTAGAAGAGGGGCAGCTGGGTCAAAGGGTTGTTCCATTCCTAACTTTCCAAGGAATCTTACTGCTTTCCATATTGGCTGCAGCAATCTGCAGTCCCACCAGCAATGTATGAGTGTACCTTTTCCCCCACATCCTCGCCAACAGTATTGTTGTTTGTCTTCATAATAGCTGCCATTCTGACTGGAGTGAGATGATATCTTAGTTGTAAGTTCTGTGTCTAATTCATTTCTTTGCATACAGATGCAAAGGTGTTCATAATTCATTTTAAAAATCATCATCTCCAGTGAAGTCCTGACTTCTCTTGTGTGTTTGAGTTTATTTCTAGGTTTTCATTCCACTAATCTCACCTTGCCACATCTCACCTTTTGAGTTACTATAAGTTCATAGTAAATCTCAGCATCAGATATTTCAGTCCTGTAACCCTATTCTACAGAATTGTTGATCACTCTGAATGCCTGCCTTCTCCATATAGCCTTTAGAAGCAATTTTTTAATATCTGTGCAACAGGTTGTTAGGATTTTATCATGGTTGTGTTTAATTCATTTATTAGAGTTATAGATAACTAATATATTAATATTGAATGCTCCTTTCTATGTTTGGTAGTTGTAGGGTCCCCCAATTTACAGGAAGTTGATCAGCAGTATAAATGACATTCTGGGACTTATAAGTGGCATCAGAATTAGGTGAAAGACTGCAAGTTTGAGACATGAACTAGTGACATTTGTGCCAACCAGTGCAAACAATATGTTCTTTTTTAAAAATATTTTTTAGTTGTTGATGTACTTTTATTCTTTATTTATATGTGGTGCTGAGGATCAGACCTGCTGCCTCACACATGCTAGGCAAGTGCTCTGCCACTGAGCCACAACTCCAATTTGATTTTCTGCAAATTCACACATTTTCTTCTAGAAACATAAATTTTAAAGGACATTGTAGGTAAGGACCTTAAACTGACTGCAGCTATGTGTCTTTTAACTGGTGAGAATTGTAACTCTGGAAGACTAAGTATTTCCTTTCTTTGCAAAAGGAATCTGAGGTATGTGGACCTTACTTTTAGCTGCCCAGAATTGCCTGACTCACTGCTTAGGAATGAGTCACAGAAGGCCACAGTGTTACAGTGAGGGTGCTCCACAGTTTAGAAAATATATTTATTCTAACATGTCAGGATTTTTATTTATTTTACTTTATTTTTTTTGCATTTTGTGAACAGTGACTGTAATCATCTACTAACCTGATTTGTCTCATTCCTTTCATGAAATCTTGATACCATACAATTCCAATTGGCTCAAGTATTTAAATACTTTGCTATTGAAGATTTTTAATTGGTTATTTGTGTAGATGGGGTGATTATGCTCTGATGTCAAGGTAATTCTTCCAATAAAGTAACTAGAATCCATCCACACATGGAGTTCCCACATGGAAAACCTGTGTGGACACTTCTGGTGTCTTACTGATCTCATCTTCCTTTTGCACACAGAAATGATGACAGTCCTGTGCCTGTTTTATGAGTAATAATTTTATTATGTATTTCCTTAGTTGTATGAATTTTAAGTAACTTATTGTTATAATTGTAATGGAAAAGTAATGATATTAAAAGGTCTTTTTTCTTTTATTAACCATTACTTTGCCTCAGTTTTTTGAACACATACATGCTGCTGTCTGGGCCTCTATTGAACCAAATTTATTCACTCTTTGAATTGCTTGTAGAACTTGGAAATATTTCAAGGTTGTCTATTCATGAAGTGGAAGAATCACTTTACATGTCTCCAAATGTTAATATTTTATGAATATTTTACACATTGGGAATGTGTCATGGATCATACTTGATACTAATTATATTCAGGAGCTCAATCTATCTCATGGATACAAAGCAGAGAGAATAACTACCAGACTGTTTTCAGATGCTTTTTTACCACTCTTTTTGTCTCCCTTAGACACAGTCACCTTATGAGAATATCTCTGACAAGTCTGATTTGCATCTGGAATGTCCCCCAAATTTCATTCACTGATGGCAGAAGACTTAGGAGTTGGGCTTTTAATCATTTCTTGGATTATGGTATATATCCTTCACTTCATTCTGATATGAAATACATACAATGTTTTTGGACTTATGTATTTTCCTCTGAATTAGATAATGGAAAGTATCTTATTACATAATTAAGGTCACTCTCCTACATGACAGTCAGTTCTACTAACTCTTAATTCAAACTAAAAACTGAATAACAGTTTAGTCCGTGTGCTATTGATCTACCAATTTGTATTTCAGGAGCCTTTGACATTTGGGGATGTGGCTATTGATTTCTCTGAGGAGGAATGGGAATGCCTGAATCCTGCTCAGCAGAATTTATATAGAGAAGTGATTTTGGAGACCTACAGTAACCTGGTCTTTGTGGGTGAGCATAAGTTTTTTTTTTCACTAAAACTTCCTCATCAGAGTTCTTTCTGAATATGTGTAATGGATTTTCTGTGAAATTATCTGCCATGGAATGAAAGTCAAGATGGAAAAAGACTGCTCTTTTGAGAGTTGGTGTAAGTTGTATTTGAATAAGAGGATGTGTAAAATAATACATCAATGGATATTTACAGTTTGGTTGGTTGGTTTTTTTCTTTATTTTTTCATTGTGTACAGTAGGATCCATGTTATAGACTGGGATTCCTGATATCAGTTAATTGCTTCAAATTAAAAAAAAAAAAAAGAATCATGCATAACTTAATTTTTTATTGTGGGTTGTTCAAAACATTACAAATTTCTTGACATATCATATTCCACACTTTGATTCAAGTGGGTTATGAACTCCCACCTTCACCCCATACACAGATTGCAGATTCACATCAGTTACACATCCATTGATTTACAAATTGCCATACTAGTGTCTGTTGTGCTCCGCTGCCTTTCCCATCATCCACCCTCCCCCCTCCCCACCTCTCCCCTCCCCTCCCCTCCTCTCTCTCTACCCCCTCCACTGTATAACCCTGAGGGTCTCCTTCCATTACCATGCAATTTCCCTTCTCTCTCCCTTTCCCTCCCACCTCTCATCCCTGTTAAATGTTAATCTTCTTCTCCTGTTCTTCATCCCTACTCTGTTCTTAGTTATTTTCCTTATATCAAAGAAGACATTTGGCATTTGTTTTTTAGGGATTGGCTAGCTTCACTTAGCATAATCTGCTCTAATGCCATCCATTTCCCTGTAAATTCTATGATTTTGTCATTTTTTAATGCAGAGTAATACTCCATTGTGTATAAATGCCACATTTTTTTTATCCATTCGTCTATTGAAGGGCATCTAGGTTGGTTCCACAGTCTTGCTATTGTGAACTGTGCTGCTATGAACATCGATGTAGCAGTGTCCCTGTAGCATGCTCTTTTTAGGTCTTTAGGGAATAGACCAAGAAGGGGAATAGCTGGGTCAAATGGTGGCTCCATTCCCAGCTTTCCAAGAAATCTCCATACTGCTTTCCAAATTGGCTGCACCAATCTGCAGTCCCACCAGCAATGTACAAGTGTACCCTTTTCCCCACATCCTCGCCAGCACTTGTTGTTGTTTGACTTCCTAATGGCTGCCAATCTTACTGGAGTGAGATGGTATCTTAGGGTGGTTTTGATTTGCATTTCTCTGACAGCTAGAGATGTTGAGCATTTTTTCATGTACTTGTTGATTGACTGTATGTCCTCCTCTGAGAAGTGTCTGTTCAGGTCCTTGGCCCATTTGTTGATTGGGTTGTTTGTTCTCTTATTGTCTAATTTTTTGAGTTCTTTGTATACTCTGGATATTAGGGCTCTATCTGAAGTGTGAGGAGTAAAGATTTGTTCCCAGGATGTAGGCTCCCTATTTACCTCTCTTATTGTTTCTTTTGCTGAGAAAAAACTTTTTAGTTTGAGTAAGTCCCATTTGTTGATTCTAGTTATTAACTTTTGTGCTATGGGTGTCCTATTGAGGAATTTGGAGCCCGACCCCACCGAATGTAGATCGTAGCCAACTTTTTCTATCAGACGGCGTGTCTCTGATTTGATATCAAGCTCCTTGATCCATTTTGAATTCACTTTTGTGCATGGCGAGAGAAAGGGATTCAGTTTCATTTTGTTGCATATGGATTTCCAGTTTTCCCAGCACCATTTGTTGAAGATGCTATCCTTCCTCCATTGCATGCTTTTAGCCCCTTTATCAAATATAAGATAGTTGTAGCTTTGTGGATTGGTTTCTGTGTCCTCTATTCTGTACCATTGGTCCACCCGCCTGTTTTGGTACCAGTACCATGCTGTTTTTGTTACTATTGCTCTGTAGTATAGTGTGAAGTCTGGTATCGCTATACCGCCCGATTCACACTTCTTGCTTAGCATTGTTTTTGCTATTCTGGGTCTTTTATTTTTCCATATGAATTTCATGATTGCTTTCTCTATTTCTATAAGAAATGCCATTGGGATTTTGATTGGCATTGCATTAAACCTATAGAGAACTTTTGGTAATATCGCCATTTTGATGATGTTAGTTCTGCCTATCCATGAACAGGGTATATTTTTCCATCTTCTAAGATCTTCTTCTATTTCTCTCTTTAGGGTTCTGTAGTTTTCATTGTATAAGTCTTTCACCTCTTTTGTTAGGTTGATTCCCAAGTATTTTATTTTTTTTGAAGATATTTTGAATGGAGTGGTTGTCCTCATTTCCATTTCAGAGGATTTGTCGCTGATATACAGGAATGCCTTTGATTTATGCGTGTTGATTTTAAATCCTGCCACTTTGCTGAATTCATTTATTAGCTCCAATAGTTTCTTTGTAGAGCCTTTTGGGTCTGCTAGATATAGAATCATATCATCTGCAAATAGTGATAATTTAATTTCTTCTTTTCCTATTTTTATGCCTTTAATTTCTTTCGTCTGTCTAATTGCTCTGGCCAGTGTTTTGAGAACTATGTTGAAGAGAAGTGGAGAGAGAGGGCATCCCTGTCTTGTTCCAGATTTTAGAGGGAATGCCTTCAGTTTCTCTCCATTCAGAATGATGCTAGCCTGAGGCTTAGCATAGATTGCTTTTACAATATTGAGGTATGTTCCTGTTATCCCTAGTTTTTCTAGAGTTTTGAACATAAAGGGATGCTGTACTTTGTCGAATGCTTTTTCCGCATCTATCGAGATGATCATATGGTTCTTATTTTTAAGTCTATTGATGTGGTGAATAACATTTATTGATTTCCGTATATTGAACCAGCCTTGCATCCCAGGGATGAATCCTACTTGATCATGGTGTACAATTTTTTTGATATGTTTTTGTATCCGATTCGCCAGAATTTTATTGAGGATTTTTGCATCTAGGTTCATTAGAGATATTGGTCTGTAGTTTTCTTTCTTTGAAGTGTCTTTGTCTGGTTTAGGTATCAGGGTGATGTTGGCCTCATAGAATGAATTTGGAAGTTCTCCCTCCTTTTCTATTTCCTGAAGTAGCTTGAAAACTATTGGTATTAGTTCTTCTTTAAAGGTTTTGTAAAATTCTGCTGTATACCCATCCAGACCTGGGCTTTTCTTAGTTGGTAGTCTTTTTATGGTTTCTTCTATTTCCTCAATTGATATTGGTCTGTTTAGGTTTTCTATATCCTCCCGACTCAATCTGGGCAGATCATATGACTTAAGAAATTTATCTATGCCTTCACTATCTTCTAATTTATTGGAGTATAAGGATTCAAAATAGTTTTTGATTATCTTCTGTATTTCTGAAGTGTCTGTTGTGATATTGCCTTTTTAATCCCGTATGCTAGTAATTTGAGTTCTCTCTCCTCTTCGCTAGCATGGCTAAGGGTCTGTCGATTTTGTTTATTTTTTCAAAGAACCAACTTTTAGTTTTGTCAATTTTTTCAATTGTTTCTTTTGTTTCGATTTCATTAATTTCAGCTCTGATTTTAATTATTTCTTGCCTTCTACTTCTTTTGCTGTTGTTTTGCTCTTCTTTTTCAAGGATTTTGAGATGAAGTATGAGATCATTTATTTGTTGGTTTTTTCTTTTTTTAAGGAATGAACTCCAAGCAATGAATTTTCCTCTTAGAACTGCTTTCAATGTGTCCCATAGATTCCGATATGTTGTGTCTGTGTTTTCATTTATCTCTAAGAATTTTTTAATTTCCTCCTTGATGTCTTCTATAACCCATTGATCATTCAGTAACCTATTGTTCATTCTCCAATTGATGTATGCTTTTTCCTTCCTTCTTTTATCGTTGATTTTCAGTTTCATTCCATTATGATCAGATAAGATGCATGGTATTATCTCTACTCCTTTATATTGTCTAAGAGTTGCCCTGTGACATAATATATGATCTATTTTTGAGAAGGATCCATGTGCTGCTGAGAAAAAAGTGTAACTGCTTGATGTTGGGTGGTATACTCTATATATGTCAATTAGGTCTAGGTTATTAATAGTGTTATTGAGTTCTATAGTTTCCTTATTCAACTTTTGTTTGGAAGATCTATCCAGTGGCGAGAGAGGTGTGTTGAAGTCTCCCATGATTATGGTGTGGTGGTCTATTAGACTCTTGAACTTGAGAAGAGTTTGTTTGACGAACATAGCTGCACCATTGTTTGGGACATAAATATTTATGATTGTTATGTCTTGTTGGTGTATGGTTCCCTTAAGCAGTATGTAGTGTCCCTCTTTATCTCTTTTGATTAACTTTGGCTTGAAATCTATTTTATTTGATATGAGTATGGACACGCCTGCTTGTTTCCGAAGTCCATATGAGTGATATGATTTTCCCCAACCTTTCACCTTCAGCCTATGTATGTCTTTTCCTATCAAATGCGTCTCCTGTAGGCAGCATATTGTTGGGTCTTGTTTTGTGATCCATTCTACTAGCCTGTGTCTCTTAATTGGTGAGTTTAAGCCATTAGCATTTAGGGTTATTATTGAGATATGGGTTGTTCTTCCAGCCATATTTGTTTATTTCTGTTACTAAACATTGTTTGTTTTCCTCTTTGATTATTTCCCCCCCCCCTTTACTGTCCTACCTCCCACTGTTGGTTTTCATTGTTATTTTCCATTTCCTCTTCCTGTAATGCTTTGGCGAGGATGTTTTGAAGAGATGGTTTTCTAGCTGCGAATTCTTTAAACTTTTGTTTATCGTGGAAGGTTTTAATTTCATTCTCCATTCTGAAGCTTAATTTCGCTGGATACACAATTCTTGGTTGGGACCCATTTTCTTTCAGTGTTTGAAATATGTTATTCCAGGATCTTCTAGCTTTCAGAGTCTGTGTTGAAAGATCAGCTGTTATCCTGATTGGCTTACCCCTAAATGTAATCTGCTTCCTTTCTCTTGTAGCTTTTAAAATTCTCTCCTTATTCTGTATGTTGGGCATCTTCATTATAATGTGTCTAGGTGTGGATCTCTTATGATTTTGCACATTCGGCATCCTGTA